TTTAAATGGGAAAACAACGTACATTAATCCTTAATTTGACTAATGACTGGTGTTATTTAGGAAAACTATGACCTAATATCTGTTTTGAACTTCAAGTCTGTTGCGGCACTTTTTCGTGTATAATTGTAGCGCGAAAATCGCTTTCACACGGATAAGTTGTGACGTATGAAAGAGGCGTAGCGACAGCCGTCTTCGCTGTGTCAGGCTAGAAGTCCTTCGTTTTACACCAGAAATCAATGACACTGGGAAACACTTTCTGTAGGGAAGAATCTGAAGCCAGCTATTACTGCATCAGAATTCGACGATGAATATGTCTGTGACGCATTTATCAATGTCCTTGTCTTCAGCTAACAACTTATATAAATACTAAAATATAAATAAGTAATTAAACACAAAGATAGCAGAATTAATCTCAAATTTATTACTTTGATTAGTGGAACTTTGAATCAAGTTTAAAATGAAGTGCATCGAACAGTTACCATTTGCAACGTCGCGCAGATATTTACTCTTCAATTCGTAAAGTAGAATGACCATACTAGTCAAACACCGAAAATTCCGCCGCTAAATTGGCTTCCCCGGATGAGATCGCACAAATGGGCCTCTACTTCAAATTGATCGATTTCGGAGGATATCAACTTTCGAAATGACCACCAGAAGACACAATATCTCATGATTTACAATTCGCCTCCCCCCGGGGACAAATTCTGAGTTATGCGAGTTAGCGTTGACAGAGAATGACTCACCCAGCTGCTTCTGCTCATCGCATCACACAAGGTTACTGACATTTGCTAGACTCATTCACAGATTTTATAAACTTATGCCAAACCACTTTTTTCCTGGATGGAGTTTGCTTTACATTAGCCAATCACGCGGCTAATGTAGACCGTCAGAAATGGTTTAACGCATTTTAACTGCAGGTTTTCCATCGAATAATGAAATAAAATGATCACGTTCAAGACTTATTACGGGAATCATAACATTTCGGGAGATGCCGTGGACCACACTTTGAGAAACTCTGGTCTGAAGCAAAGCATCATGATATCTACGTTTCACTTTGCTCTAATTGGTCGTCTTTTCCATTACCACCAAATTCCATTGTATTGGTACACAATAACTGGTCGGTCGAGTGTTCTCGTTTCTTCTATGGTAAATAATATTAAGTAGAACCCTCCTTTGAATGACATCAACTCTTTATATTGCGGTGCATTTTCGGGTGAACTATCCATGGGGATGAGGATATGCGGTTGTTCTCCAAGCTGGCTGATTTCACTGCAAACCTCTCATCATCAGGCTAGAAGACATCCTCAGTGCGCTTTATGTGGGCCACTTATAGAACCATGGGAATATCTAAAGCATCCGTTTCTGTCCAAAATCTATCACTGTTTGAGGTTTTCATTCTATGTGTGTGTATATGTGTACGGGGTGGGATTCGGATGTTGTGGCACTTAAGCCTCTATTGAAACCACAATCTACTTCCAAGTTACCATCAGAGTTCGGCTGGTACAACTATATATCGGAAGTCATTCATTTCTAGCACAATCGGTTTCGTCCTCATTTGAATTCATCATGTGAAGGGATGGTTGAATCCGTCACTCGGACCCGAGACCTCTGTGGTTTACTAACTGCACCAACGAGATCCGCGAACAAAGCTTGCCGCAACTCGTTGACCGCTTGTTTGGAGCGCCGGTTGTGTGTGCACGCATTTACGATATGTGACCACTCAGAGTTGACAGCTAGTTACTTCGAAGTGCTCCTCTGTCAGTTATGGTCAGTGGGGCCGTATTTGATGTATCATTCTTCTATTACTTCCTCTAATCAGGCCACGTCGCCGCTGTGGATCACTGTTTGCTCGGTAAAGTTCTGCGGGGCTCCTTGTGACCTCGCAGTATCTTTAGAACTAGCGCAACTGTGGATAGTCGCCTGGCAGTGGAGTGTTGGTGCACCGCACCAGCGAATTCCTGACGCATTTCATATTTGACCCGTAAAGTAGCATAGTATTCTGTTTTTTCCGCTTTGTTTATGCTTGCGCGAGATACCCCGGGGGCTTCCGACATTGCTTCCTCTTGTCACGACTCTTCACCTGGTACTTGAAGTTGTTTCTGGTTTCTTCGATGATGTCTGCTTATTGGTAGTATATGGTTCTAATAACAGTGGCGTCATACGCACACACCACTTATCCTATATTTCCCCGTTTCTCACTCTCAGGTCATCACGTACGCCGTGCGGTATTGGTCCGCCGGCACTTACAAAGCACTGTTTTTGAGACACGAAGGGTATTTGGGCGCAATTGGCGCGTTTGCCAAGTCCTTGAACGATTGGTCGTCTGGCGGGCCCAAAACTGTTTGGGCAGAGAATTACGTATCCACTTCCATCACTCCTCTGGTCCCGCCCACCAGTACTGTCGAATTTTTGAACGCCTCACACCGGCCCTCAGTTGTCTATGCGGGGCCAACAGAGGTCGCGGATCGTGTTCGGGATTCCATCGACATCGCACCGAAAGACTCCAGCTTGGCTCGCCTGCCTTCTTTTTGTCAGGACACGCTTCGCCGTTTGTCTTCATTGAAGCGCGTTCCCATGGACACAAATTATCTGGAACTGGACCGAGTGTTGGGGTTCTCATTGGAACCTCTGCCACTGTTAGATTCGCCAACCGATTATGTACCGGATACGTGGGACCTCACACAAGACAGTGAGGCGAGAGCGTACTGGTTGCAATGTCTAGAAGTGAGTGGTTGATTTCTCAATTTTAGCGCATTGTCTTGGAAGCCATCCGGTCCTCGTGTGTATTGGTCCCTCATTTGATATCTTATTTCCATTCTCTGTACAATTCGTCGTTGATTCCATTTGGGGTCTTTCAGTTCGTTTCACATCCTTGTGCGTTTTAACCACTTAGGCGTGTAACAGTTATCCAGGAGAGGTGACATGGACAGCCAGGGAAAGCCAGTGTGGTAAGATCACTCCAAATTGTGTGATCATTTCTCTCTGACGTATTGTGGCGATAGCCGATTTCGAATTCAGTTCGACATGCCATTTTATACAAGCTACAAGAGCAAATGCCTCACTGTGAACGTTCGTGCGGGGAGATCGTGCTCCAACTGGAGAAATGTTACTTGGTCACAATTACGGTTCAGTCGATTCGATCTCTTCCTCGCTGTTTCTGCGTCGTTTCCGTTTCACTCGATGTTCTGATACTGTCTCTATTTTTGTCCCTGGTTCTAGACTACAGGCTGCTAGGTGAAGGCAATCATCAGCCTAACATGTAATGAGGAAGCGCTGTTTATCGCCATTCTGCGATTTCCTTTTTAATGGTGGGGGTTTCCATGCTTCATATCAGGATTTACCTCACTGTTGCGCACTACAGCTACTTTGTTCGCCTTAAATAATCTAACGCCCACACCATACAATTTTTGACACGAACCCAAGGCATCAATGTTTAATACCAGGGAACATTGAGCCGACACCTAGTATTGATGAACCGCGCACTAGCTGAACCTCCAGGTGCCTTCTTGGATCCCTTGTTAAGCATGTCAGGTGTTTGGCTGATAGCATTTGAGTTCCATCCCTTAGTCTAAAGATAATAAGCTTGTTTTCTAATCTGACGGCACGGGTTCGAGCCTGTGTAGGGGCAGGGCGACCCTCGCAGTATCCTAAGCCGACGTGCGACCGGTGGTGGTTGCGCGGCAGCGAAGCGTCGCTACTGCTGGTGCCTGTCTTTTTTCTTGACTCACTTTAATGCGGCTGGATTTGTTTGGGTGTTCTGTGGTTACCACACCCTTCATGCAACTTACGTCTGAAGCATCATTATGAATTCCTGTGCACCTCGGCGTTTTGTTGATACATTCCCTACTTTGCCCCTGATCCTCAGGATGGGGTCGAAAGACAGCGGCTGAAAGCCGAAGAGAGCCAGTTGGCCACCATGCCTGATTCCACTGAGCGGTCGAAGCAGTTCGCCGAACGCTACATCAGCTATCTGCACGAACTGGGACAAAATCCGAGCAGCTCTGGTGTGTTGAACGTTCGCAGCTTGCTTTCGGCTCAGCAACATTTTCTGCGTGAATTCGGTTTCGCCGATCCGTACTGCATGCAAAAGAAGGTGAGTGATTTGTCCGGTTAATGTGGGTTCCCCAGCGTCACATTGTGCCGCATTGTGTGTGTTCGAACTTTTCAATCCAACTCGTCATTGTTTTCAAGGGTAGAATTATGATTGTCTATGTTCGGCTCTCCATTATTGATGGTGGGCTTCGCGCGTGCACGGCAGGTTGGGAAGATAAGTGCCTCTTGTCGCTCCACTGTAGTGGAGTACGTCCAGGGCTACCATATTTCTCCTTTTTCTTCTTCCACCTTTTAACCAAACATGAGCGCAAGTCGATTCGTACTCTGTTCTTTTTGAAGCTGCGACTGCCATGTGAACGATTCATTAGACCTGATGTGAACGGATGTCATGGCTCCGTTCGAGTGGTACCCGCTTCTTTTGCAGCCTCTACTTTGTAGTCAATTGGTGCTGAGTAGTATGCATCTATTTGCGTCTTCAAAATTCAAAGTTTCGTTACGAGACTCGGGTAACACATCACTGATTCCCAAAACTGTGGCACAAATACCAGAGCTGTTCAATCGGTTTGTTTGTCTTTAGGTAGTCCAACCATCAAATTGCACCAACTCGAACCTGTGCATCCCTTTAGTTATTGTGAAACCTATTTTGATTTGCTTCACTTAGGTAGCCACTTCATTTGATCAACTACGCTGGTGGAGTATTGCTCACGTCTTACAGGAGCACTGTGTGTTGGTAACACATGTGCTCTTGTGTCGCTTAGAGTTCCATTCTACATCGCACTTATTATCTACACTCAATCCATTTCCGTTTCCAAGTTGGAAAACCGATCAGCTCTTCTCGCATTCCCCGCAAGACTACAGTACCTAACTGGACTTTCTTGGGAGGACCGACAGCAGGCTCTGATACTCGCCCTGTTGGCTGGCAATCTGTTCGACTGGGGAGCATCAGAGATGGTGAAATTCTTTACGGAGGCACCAACAGATAAATTTGGCATTCCTTGTCCGGACTCGACTCTTAGTAAACTTCCGGTGAGTAGGCGCGAATTTCCTGATTGAGTGTGATGTTTTTAGTGTAGTGTGCTGCTCGTATCATTCGAGGTATCATCTTACTTTCCTGCATCTGCTGACTGACTGCTACAGCGTATTTCCTCATTTTCACTCTTATCCGGCAATCTAATAACATTTTCTTCGCGCTACAATGTAACTGTCCTTTCGATTTACTCATTTTTCACAAAGTTCCGTTTGTCAACAATCTTTTATCCTGAAAACAGCGGCGTCCAGCCCAACTTACAAGTTTGTTCAGTTTGACATAAGACGGGTTCCTAAGGATGACTTGTGCGAGTTCGACCTATGGAACGACTCGTTCAGTCGTTTGAGCGGTCTTTCATAGCCTGTGTAAGCGACAACCTTGCATCTGGGTGCACGAAGTGTAGGCGTTTTCACGCTAAGATAGTTGAGCATGACTCTAATCACAAGAGAAAAATCAGTACGACAAAATGCCGCAATCGACTTGACATGTCGAGGCACACAATACGAAGTTTTTCTGACCTTCCCACACTTGATGGTATACGGTGATACTTTACTCTACCTGCAGCCATCCATTAGTCACTATCTGTTGCGTTCATCCACCGTGTGCACCCCGTTTTGATTTCCAGTCTCGCCCCTGGCTCATGGATAACTATGATGAGTGGATTGAAGCGATTCGACCCGGCAAGCGACCATACCGTTGTGCTCTGATCTTCTGCGACAACAGTGGTCCCGACGTCATACTGGGTGTCCTTCCACTGGCTCTGGAATTCATCAGTGCGGGCACGAAAGTGATCTTGGCTGCGAACTCAGGTATGCGGCTTTTACATTTTATCTCATTACATTGATTCCTATGTGCGCAGCGATTTGGATGTATAGAAGATTTAGTCTAACGCGAAGTGTGTGTGAGTATTTCCTGACACCTACTTCAATGGACATCTTTTAATGGTTTGCCAGCCCTTTCTGCTAACCAGTTGGACACGGAATGATGTGGGGCTGTACGGCCGGGCTGAACACCATTGCTATCCATGAAGTTGCCAACTTTACTTGTGACTCATAGCTCATTATCAATGCAAATTTTTCAAACGATGACTGCATCTACGAAATGGTTGTTCCCTTTTGACGTCAATCAGTCAATAACAGCAGCACATCAGCCATTTGAACTGATGCTTCGCTGCCATGCAAACATGATGATCTAAGGAATAAAGGATACTAAGCTGGAGAGAAGGACGACTTACTCGGAAAACTTTAATGCCCTAAGCAAACATTCAGGGTCAAAGCGCCTACACCTTGTGTAGACAACATACCGTCACAAACAGCTGGCTATCGTGCAAAGATAATGCGGCATCGGCGAGACAGCTTCCTTGCGGCTTTCACTGCCACGCGTCATAATCAGCCATTACTCCGCAGATAACGCAGCACCAAACACACTTTAAACAGGCAATCCGATTAGGAGACGGCAGCAGACGCACCACTGGTGTCTACTGCGAGCCATGTCCTGTAAAGTCTCGAGCCAAGCACAAGTTGAGTCATGTGGACTCCAACGGGGAAGGCGAGACGGACCATGGGCACCCAGTTTGGTCGTCAGTGACTTCATTTCCCGCTGCCAAGTCAACTTTCGTCCACCTCGTGTCTTGCGCCACCCTACTTCTGGTAGACTAAACAAGGCCCTCCTAGGTAAGCGGTGATCAGGCATGCGTAGTACGGGCCCAAGCCAACGCAACTTAATCAGTCTTATCAGTTGGTCTAAGGAGCTAGCATGATTATAATTGCCTAGTACTCGCCTACGCAAATCATCGTTACGGACCCGCTGGTGACACCTGACACCAGCAATGCTTGGCAGACAATGATGATCGAAGACTTGAAGGCACCTAAGAGGATCATCAGATCGAAGGGGCGTAGTCCCACTACCATAGAGCAGGACGGTCCTCACTGTGGCCTTGTAAGCACGGCCTTTTAGACGGAGGGAAACTCCCTTCTGTTGCCTAAGATGTCCCAGGTTCAAGAAGGCAGTTCTGGCTTTTGCAATGCGTGAATTGACTTCCTTTTCTATGCGCCCATCCTTGCTGATGCATCTGCTAAGATAAGTAAGTCAATCAACCACCTCGACTTCCTCGTTAGCAAGGATCAAGGGATCATCAAGTGGTGGTGGTCCTTCAGAAACACTGCACTTTGAAGGTGCGAAGCGCATACCAAATAACGGGACCACTCTAGACTGGCTATTCAGCTTTGATTGTGCCGCTGTAACATCGTCGAAAAGTAAGACGATATCGTCCGCATAATCAAGGTCAACTAACCTTTCACAAGGTAGGACCTCAACACATACATCGTGAGATTCCGCAAGAGAACACTCCATGATGGAGTCCACGACGTAATTGAACATTAATGGGAAATCGGACAACCCTGACGAACGCTACTTGTCAGGAAGCTCTCCGACAGGTCACCGTTGGCCCTGACGCGGCTTGTAGTGTTCCAGTATAGAGCACGTAAGATATTCACATATTTCGTAAGGACATCTTTCCGCACAGGTAATTCGAACAGAATGCATCGATCGAACGCACTCTTGAAGTCGAGGAACACTAATATTGTCGGTCTGCAGTATGCGTGGCGCTGCTCTCGCCCCTGCTGCAGGGTGAATATGTGGTCTATACAGCCACGTCCTTGACAGAAATCTGCCTTCTCTTCCCTACTCCAGGAGTCCCGTTCCGCAGTGAGGCGACTAACGAGAACCGAGGCCGGTAATTTTTTCACAACTGGCGTTAGGGTTATGCCCCTGTGGTTAGCATCTGTGCGACTGCCCATCTTGTATATTGCTACGATAATCGATTCCCTGCAGTTAGCCGGGACGGTCTCATCCTTCTAGATCTGTTCAAACATGGAAGTCAGTGCTTTGCAGAGGACTTCACATCCATCCTTAAAAAGTGCAGGTGGAACGGAATCAGGGCTAGCGACACGAAAACAATTGTGGGCTGTGATCACGTTTCGGACTTCAGCCTCCGATGGAACCGTTAAACTAATGATCCATGGCTCGTCCTGCATCATCTGAGTAGGAAGAGGTCCGGGAGCAATGGGGTAACTGAACTAATCTTGAAAGTCTTCTGCCCAACGAACCATACCGCGCTCCTTATTGTGTATCATTGCACCCGCGCTGTCTCTGATTGTTTCACTGACGCCTGTTTTCCTGGGACCGGTGGTGCGGATCAGTTGGAAGAGCTTGCGACAACTGCCTACTGCTCCTGCCTCCTCCATTTCTTGAGCCCGACTGTTCCACCTGTTCCTTGTCAGCATGGATTCCCCGTTTTAGTTCGCGCCTAATAGTTCGTCCGGTCACATTGTGCTCAGAACGAGCCGAGAGTTTTCTAATGAATTCCAATAGGTTCACCGACCTTTCGGATATCCAGCGACTGGTGCGGTGACGATTGATAGTCCCGCAAGCAGATGCTCCTGCGTCGTGCATGGCGGCCGTGCTCCTATTCCACTGAAGCTCAGTGCGCAGTAACGCGTTCAGTTCGTGATAGGATGTGTCCTTAGCAGTATTAGAACTGCAGTCGGCGGGAGCATAGGCGGAAATCACAAATAAACAACGTTTTGCACTACTTCGTGAATCAACCTTAGTTGATGTCGTCAAACGGGCTGCACACAAACAGCTGTTCACCGGAATCCAGTGAACCAACGATGGCTCAGCCTTGCAGCTTAGAATGGTGCCTATTCTAGCTTGACCCGTGAGTGCTGCATCAACGTCTGCGGATGTGTGCAGCCAATAGCGAGAGGACAAGCCGGGCACAGTTAATTCATCAACCCCACGTGGGTCATTGACCTTAGATTCGGACGTACAACATACGTCAATACCCGGTGTGTCCAACGGGCGTGCGAGTGCTGCCTGTTTACTTGCCTTGGAGTGCGAACGTTGAACGCCGCCAGGGAAACGGGACAGCGTGGCTTTATAAGGAGCTTTTGGCGATAGGTGTCCATTGGGTGTTGCGGGAGGTGACTGCAGATGGTTCTACTCTAGTGGCACTTTGGTTGCTGTCATTTAAGCTGGGAATGATAAAAGGAAGGTTAATAATGGAGGTCGGGATGGGAATAAGAGAAACAGATGGAAAAGAAAGATGGAAGACGCCAGCAGTAGCATGTTTTCGCTTAACCGCCCTGCTGTATGCAGCAGATAGGGCGATCCTTGATGAGCTGCGCGATGGCCAATGCAGGATGCAGTTTGCGTTTGCGGAAATTCCCATGATTGTACGTGGGCTGAGATACTGCCAGGAGAACGAATAAAGTCCACAACCAATACCTTTGACTCAAAACCCTGACCGCAAGGCAGCGGGGAAGTGGCAATGCTTTAATTTTACAGAAATGGACGCCATCCCATTTCAGCCTCCCAACCTGGAGGACCAGGAGACTGAGTTTGTCTGACCTCTACCAGTTGACCAACCTGAAAGGAGTAGCTCTCAAGGGGCCTGGAGGCACCACCCAGTATAGCTCAATGGGTCAAAAAGCTACGCAAACCGTCGCACCACGTTAACGTCCACACACACGGCGTCTGAAGGAGAGTCACTTCGATACTTGATAAATTGTTGCACAACGCTTTCCCTTTGTTTGACCAGTGACCATGCTGTTTCCCAAGTGAGTTTATTCTCGTCTTCTGACAGCAGGCGTTCTCTAGCTTTATCGTCCCGAATGCCAACCAAACGGCATTGCACCGCCATCGTCTCTTCAAATTTCGTTGCGGGAATTTTATTGTAATGGCAGTCAGAAAGGGTCTGTTATATCCGACTGATGAATTCATTAACACTCTCCTCTTCATGTCGTAAATGAGAAATACTTAGGCGCTCAGTAATAACATGTTTCCGCTTCCCCCAAAGTCCATCCAAGACGTTAAAGCAGTCCGTCAGGGATGTGCTTTCGTACAAACCCAACGCATCAAAATGCCGAGGTGTTGTCTCATTAGTTTGATAGATTAGGTTTCAATAAGTTTGATTTGGAAGTGTGTAATTGTGAAAAGCACAAGGTAGTCAAAGGTTTGTTTCCAGCGATTCCAAACTGCTGCGGATGGCTTGGACGACGTGTGCTTCCAAAAGGGATCAGGCGCGGTAAGATGGCTCACAATAATTTATTCCAAGTTTAACCTTTGTCACCAAAATGTTACAGTTTAGCAATTGTGGTATTAACGCACAGTGGCTGGCTCTTAGCCGAAGTATCACAAAGCAAAACACGTCAGGCACACGGAAGGCAAAACTGTATTCTAACCGGCATGTTGTACAACGCATTGATCCACTATTCTAAACTAGTCCAATCGATAAGTGGGTGAGCGGGTTACTGACACGCTAGCGGATGCAGACAACGAATAGAAAGGGCTCAGTACATTGGGTGAGAGGATGCCACAACGACCCTCACAGTATACTTAGTCATGTGCGACCGGTGGTGGTTGCGCAGCAGCGAAGCGTCAGTGCTACTGATGCCAGATACGATGTTCTCACTCTTCCGGGTGCGGACACAAATGTGTGTTTTATAAATGCGGCAGTTAGGTCGTTTAGCTGACATCCAGTGATCATAAATTTCCTGTCCGACTACTTCTTACCCATCGACGCGTCAGAGCATGATGAAGTGGGAATGAAGTCCGAGGGAATACACATAGAGAACTGCACTCTCTATTTGAACGTGATAGGGGACAGTGTGAAGTGCATGCATTTATCAGTTATCGTCCTCGTTCCGTGCTTTTCGAGTTGTTAGCCGTACTAACTGCATTTTATCACCTGTTATGCTTTCTGTGTGTGCAGAATTTCCCGTGTTTTATTTGTCTTCAGGTCCCGCCATAAACGACGTGACTTTGCCGGAGTTGGAGATTCTGCTTCGTCTCATCGCCTCGTACGAGTCGAGCGTGGCGGAGGCGTTGTCTAGCGGTCAGCTGCTGCTGGCTGAGAATGGACAGTTCTCTCCGTGTCTGGACCTCCGTTTAACCGCAAGCACGTTGGTCCAGTTGATCAAACGCGAGCAGGTGAGTGCTGTATTTCATTGATCCCTGGTTGAGGCCCACTCGATTGGGAGCAGTTCACTATACTCGCTGTGGTTGACTTTCTTGAGTGTTGATTGGTGGTCGTGAAACAGGTGCCCCCTATGACATGCCTCTTTGCTCACTATCTAATCGCGGCGGAACCGATCACCCTGTTACCGCTTTTTGGATTTCGCGGGTTCAAACTATTGTTGCAAAGTCAGCTGCATCCTCAGAGCATCCAGTAGAACTGTTATATTGATCTTTTATCCTGTTTAGCTTTTCACTTCTTGCGCTCAACGTAACCGCGATTTTGCCGCTCCCATCCGTGAGTTATGGAGGCGTGAGCGAGGGGTATCAACGGTATGCTGTAACGTCGTACCGACAGTTTATGGTCACACGACAACTGTCAGTCACGTGTGATCTTGTGATCCCATGAGGTAGTCCACAATTACACAAACTCTAAGGGGTGACCTGTAGAATTTCAAGTCAGACTCCTGCACCACCCCGACACTGACAAGCTACCTTGATCGGTTTATTGTATACATTTTTCTTTGTTGGACCTGGACTCACGGCATCCGCTTTGTCGATGGTTGATCGCTGATCCTAGTTTGGCGGCTCAGTCATGAAATATCACAGTGACTAACGACAGTGGTTTAGTAAGTTGAACTGCTTTTTTGCTACACTGCGGTCACAATGATTTACATAAGGGGAAAGAGGAGTGGTCTGGTAGAAAACCTAACTGCGTTCGCACAACAGGCTTTAGAGTAGACATTCCGTTGTCATCGTTGAATCTGACAGATCCCATTAACGCAACTTTAAATCCATCTGCTTTTTATCCCATAGAGCAGGTATGTCAACCCGTTTTGCTCGGAGGCGGCATATTGCCGATTGTAAGAACGCATGCAACCCCCGCAAATCGTACTTTAGCGGATATGTATGACGATTTCTATTTCTTCTCATGCACAGCCCCTTATGATTTCTTCGTTTGACAAGTTCACCATAGAAACTACTAGTCCCTAATCGGGCTTGAATAGTCAACCTGTACAGTGATATGGAGCCAAGTGAACAATTACTTTGTTCAACGTTCTTTGTCCCATCCCGTTGATTGGTCGTCAACGGAAGTGTCTAATTTATCTTACAGGCGTGTCCTATCCCTTGCAAAGTGTTCAGCGGCGGTTCTTCACCATGTACGAGATTGCGTTGTCCTTCTGACATCAGCTATCATCCTGAGTGTTATTCTTCTCTTCATCCGCCTTCCCTCTTACAGGTGGACTTGATCATTATTGAAGGAATGGGTCGGGCAGTTCATACCAATCTGTACGCTCGATTTCGGGTTGACTGCCTGAAGGCTGCGGTCATCAAAAATGCGTGGCTCGCTCGTCGTCTAGGTGGCGACTTGTATAGCGTTGTGTTCAAGTTCGAGTCAGCCTCCGGCATCACTGGGTCAAACCACCACCGGAATGCGTGTGACCAATCAAACGATTCGAAGGTTGCCTAACCTATTCCTCCCAATCCACGCAATCCCTTCCACAGCACTCCTATTTCCATTTTAAACTATTCCTCGTGATCAAGGAGGCGTGTGCCGTCGGAATTACCCTCACGCTTTTACACCTTTTTTCTATACTCACTTGTCCGGTGTGTTTTTTCCACGGAAGTGCAATTGCTTCGATGAGAACCCTACCCCACAATTGTTACCTGCTATTATTTTGCTTACATTTGATTTTCTTTATCTCATAAACCAGTTTTTACTACGTGATACCGATGATGATCGTTGCGTATTCTCGGGGTGTGTGAGCTGCACCTTCTCTGTGGGATCTGCTATTCATCGAGCCACCAGATCGATTCTATTACTTTACTTTACCGCGGCTAACTCCTGAGACAGGATGAGCCGGCTTCATAAATGTCGCGGATTGCAGCTGCCCAAGCGCGGCGGTCGGCGGTAAGCTTCACGTAGATACTGATCCAATAATTCTTCTAGTGACGAGCACCATGCACAACCTGGAGCCCCAGAAGATCGACATCCGATTTCACTGCAGCGAGCCACGTTTTCAATTGCCCACCACAGCGACGACGCCAACTGGCAAGGCGAGGGTGAAACTATGGTCCTAGTGAAGCCAGTGTCTGATCTGCGGAGGACATGACCGAACCACTGAAGTCTGCGATGTTCGATGATGGCTGAAAGTTTCGGAAGCCCGTAACAGCACTTATGGATTTCGTCATTGGTGATGTGCTCATACCACTGTGTTTTCAAGATAAGCCTTAGTGACCAATAGTCGAAGGCTTCCAGGTTCCAGGCGTCTTCGGATCGCAGCGGCCATGTTTTGCAACCATAGAGTAAAGTGGCACGAATGGTTGCTGAGAATACCGGATTTTCGTTTTCAGACTAACTTCCGTCCTTTGTCACAACGTGTTTCTCTGGCTGTTGAACTGTGCGCTGAGCTTGGCAATTTTTTTGCAAACGTTTCGTCACCAATCGAGGTGATATCATCAGTGCGTAGTGGAGTGGCATGCAATAGCGTAGAGGAGCCTCGGTGAGAGGCTCAGCGCACAGTTCAACAGCCATCTGAACAACCTGAGCTACCAGTTTCCATTGTTATAGCCAACGTGTTTCTCTGTTGAAAGAAGGCTGTTCTAGCGCTGTCAATACGATTCCGGATTTCTTATCTAGTCTGGACACTGGGGAGAATAGTGGATCCAAGATACTTTAACTCAGGGACAGACTCGATGAGTTATCCATGGAAGGAAAGCGACGAGATGGCTGACGATGAGAGCTACTTCGTCTTGTTGATGTTACTTTCGAGGCCGACCATAGATCGATTCCGGTTTTGTTGAATTCAACCTGAGTCATTTCGCAGTATTGGCCGCTTCGTATGGTGGCACAAGTTAGTTGGCGACTTGAGACGATACGCACCAGCTTGACCAAGTGTCTCGATCAATATCTCCATGCGGAATTGACTGGTCGCTTGTCCCGAGTTTCACGACAGCGCCAGCGTGTCATGCGCACCGAGGAAGACGGTCAATGGGCATGCGAAAGAAGTGACCTAGGCGGCTGCGTTAGCGACTGTAGTTTGACTCATTTTCGTGTGGTGCAACCAACTACCACCTTGTAGTGCGGCGGCGCCATGCTTTAGCCTATTCATTGGTGCTTATATTGCATGCAACATTCACAAAACGCTTCCTTAGTACTTCTTCAAGATTCCGAACGATGTTATAAGCTCAAGGTTGATCCGCTCTGGCTACGGCGCATGAAGTTATATTCCTTAACACTTTGCACAGAACCATACATGTTTCTAACCTCAACGTAACATTAATGCAATCAGCAGTCTACAACTCACGAAACAAACAGAACTCAATGGCGGAATGCGAGTCCAGGATAAGTAGGTCTGCCAACTTTTCCTTCAACAGGTACGCACGAGTCTAGAACAAGCTACCACCCGGAATACGTGCCTACACTCTTGGAAACGAATTTCGTAAAGCATCAGCGAGTTCTTGTCAGTACAGCACGTGATCAAACTGTTTGACTGTTCCATAACAACAAGCCAAGCGTACGAGCAGGGTTTAGGTTTTATCTGAATTAATGCATGTTTCACCGTCACCCGTGGTTCCGCTGCTTTATATGTGGAGAACAGCTAAAAGCCAGCCAACATAATTACAATTCAGTAAACGGCATCTTATCTATTTCTTGTCATCCCAATCGTCCTTATCTGATTTGATATGCGATTTTCCTGATCCACCTGTGATCAACGTTCTATAAAGTATGCGCATACCCAATCATGCCGATATAGGCGTGCCTCGCATCGTCGAGATCAAAAGTTTATTTATTGTTTATGTAGGGTCCGTGCGAAGGAGGACTATATCGTCCGAACATTCACGGTTTGTCATTTGGTCACGTGGTAACGCTTCCACTTCTAGGGAAACTGAGAGCATAGAGTCATTTATGATCATCGCGGTAACAGTGTAGAAGAGATGAGATATAGGACGATTTTAGTGAACTCCAGCTATAGTGGGAAACTCAGGAGACAGATTCCCATGGACCCTCACGCAATCTCATGAGTCACGATACTGAGGTTCAGAGCAAGCAAGAGGTTCCGTGGCGCGCGCTTCACGGATTACCGGTAACACATGCAGGCACGATCAACAGAATGGATGGTTGATCAGTTGGTGATCCGTGTGTTCGCTAAACTCGACACTTGCTACAAACATTTCCTCAGCAACCTAGATGACATTGTCAGTGCGCTATTGTGTAACGAAACGATGCGTAGCGGAGTGTTAGTGAGTGTGCGTCGGCCAGAATTAGTAACATACTCAGTCATCCGTAAGCGTCTCTCTGCCCAAACACTTGATATGGAATAAACATATGGTCTTTTGGACCTCGCACAAGGCGAAATCTAGTTTGCTCGGCTCCTAGACTTAAGGATCACAAGCCTGCCTTGTAATCCGAGGGCGCGGGTTCGAGTCTGCATAGGGACCGGGCGTCCATCGCAGGATGCTTATCCCACGTGCGAGTGGTGATGGTTGCACGACAGCGAAGCGTCCGCACTGGGTACCGGCGTACAGCTGATGACTTCTCACTTTGAAGTAGACCTTGGTCATTCCGATCACTAAGACCGTATCCGAAATTGTAGTGTTTCGGCGTTGTTTTTCCCAACACTGATACCCCATGACCGGTTCCGCCCTCATTTGGACTCATCACACGGAGATAGCCTGAGCTGGAGTGGAACTCGTGGCCCAGTGGTTAAAGTCTGACGCCTTGATTGCGATCCGGCCACACGGCGTTTACTCCAAATCCAACTTTGGATTCGTTACCGCTATGCCAAGCATTGCTCACGGATCTTCGATGCATATTAATCAAGGTGTCAACCGTAAGCCACTAGGCTTCGAGTTCCCCCTCAGCTCAGGTTATATCCACCGGGACGAAACCGGTCATGGGGTGTCGGTGTTGGGAGGAGATATGGCTAGTGCTTCGAAGGTTTTCGCGCAAGTTCCTTTGCCTCTGTTTTGAAATGAGTACGATGCACATGGTATTCTAAATTCATCTCTTCATTATCCCATCTATTATTGAGTCGAGCACATAGCATAGCCATCAGTGAGTCGCATCGATTTATCGGCAAAGGTTAAATTGTGATACCTAGTGTGGGAGCCCTGATTCCTTTCAACACAGCGAGTTCAGTTGCAACTTTATCGTTAAGTGTGACATCTGCTACCTATGTGGGACCAGATTGTTCAGCAAGCGGTAGTATCGCATCAAGGTGTGCCTAACTGCTTTTCAAAATGTTCCTGCCGAGAAACTAGTTGACGTGCCTGAGAATTGATCAACTGTGTCCACCTTGCTACTCTGTTCTTGTCTCAGTTATTCATGGCATTCTTAGATCTGTGTTTCGGATGAGTTTGAACAGTATCCGACCGGTTCTCCATCACCATTTCGTTAATGTATTGCTGCTGCATTTATTACTTTGAGTCCAGATTACATCTGAGGAGCTTCGCAGATTGTGTTTCGTTGATGCGCGTCGAAGAGTAAGAGCGCCACGTATACACACGCTAGTGCATGGTCGAAGTGATGTGTATCATCTGTGTGAGAACAGCACATTCGTGAAAGTGTGCAACTCAGTGTGATGACGTTCTCCTGTTTTGAATGGATACTGTAGAGGGGAAGCAAGAAAATATATTTCTGTGTAGCTGCGTCTAGAATTTCCCAAGTAAAACTGTAGCAGTACGACGCGACAATGAAGCACAATCTTCATTGACCCGACAACTGGCAATTAACCCATTCACGCGCACTGATATGAGTCATGTTTCCCTCCCACGACGCCCCAATTTTTTTTGGAATCCGCTACGTAGATTTCGCAATTGCATAACCTCTCATGTTTCACCCCATGTCTCCGTTTGTATTCGTCCCATTCGTTCGATAGCTCTTGATTTACTCAATCGGGGTTGGGTCGCTCTCCTTGGGATTGTTCTTGGGGGCGTGACCGTAGGTTTATCACTCCAGATGATCGGGCTCTCCGTCATTACGTTCCCTGGTTATTTCGACGTGACCCAGATATTGTTTGTCGGTCGTGAACCATTCCCGGCTTTTTCCTTAGGCCTCGAGCTGCTTTGCCGACTTTTGCCCCTGGTGTCACCGTACATCTTCCTCTTTTGTTTCCGTCTTGTCTGCGATTCTTGACTTCCGCATCACTGCACTCTACGCCATGCTCGCAAAAGGGCTGTATTTAACCATCGATTCGCCATCCCGTCGTCGGTTCATAAGTTCACCCATTCCCGGCCGATTATGGTGGGGACTTTTCCACCGTTGGTTGAACTTGCTCGCACCTGATCCTCTATATGCCGGTAGATCACTATTGCGCAGGCTTAATTGGCCTTCTAGATCGAATGGTTCCCATTTGTGTGTCATATATCTCGCAGCATAGTTCCGCTTCTTCCGTAATTGTCGAGCATATCTTTCCCTTCTGGTGGTTGTTTGCAGTCCTCCGTGCTGCGCTGCTGGATGTTCGCGCCCACGCTCAATTACACACCACGTATCTAGTGCAATTCTCGGCTCTCTGATAAACTACAATTCGACGAGCGAAATCCTGGTTATTGAATGTATGCTGGCTTGTTAGGCGAGTAATACTTCAGGCAATACTTCCTCCCACACCAACCTTGTCCAGTGTGGCCATATCTTCATGGTCCCGTTAAACCGTTCTGTCATTCCATTGGTCTGCGGGTGGTACGGAGCAGTGCGTCGTCTCTGGATGCCCCATTTGGCTAGTACTTCTTACAATACTTGTGCCTCTATGCACTTACCTTGATCAGTGATGAGGCAGTGCGGCATCCCATATCTCCCTGGTAGCTTGAATTCAAACACCTGTGCCACAGTCTCGCCTGTCTGCTACTT